TAACAACTTATGACTTCTACTGGAATAGTTTAATAAACATGAAAATGAAAATACCTCACCATCTTTTGAAGCTGTTGTTGGGTATACCTGGGTAGGCTGCAGTAACATTTTTCATAGTTATTGATTTACGAGATTTTTCTTTTATGAGAAATGCAAATTTCTTAATATAGCATTTCCCTTTTGTAATTACTACACAAGAAATACTGCAGCATAAAATAAATAGTGTACTTAAAAGTTAACTTATCAACACATTTAAAATAATTATCATTATCATTTGTAAGGACTGGGTTGGGATTTGGAACAAGTGGAACAAGCCATTCTCTAAGGCTTGATAATATCAGGAAGATAAGTCCTGGTTCTCAGAGGTCAGCACTGCTACTTTTCCTTTTTTTTTTTAAAAACAGTTACCCAAATTTTGAAAGGTCATCTCCTGTTTAGTGGTTGGCAACAAGATTTTTCTATTCCCACTAGCTTGCTACTGTTGGGTGTGCCTAGTTTTACTGTAACATGAAGGCAACTCTTCCTAGAACTAAGAATGATGCTGCTATTTGCACACAGGATAGATACTGTAAGGAAGTGCAGCTAATGCCATCTGTTGAGAAGCTGCACAGGTTCTTCTATGACATACTAGCTTCCCCTGCTTGGAGACAGATCCCAAGTTCATGCCAAAGCCTGGATTTCTCAGCTAGCAATGTAACACTGACATAATGCCAATAGACCAGTTTTCTGTTAATATTTTCATTCATATACTGTTATATTGTTAGATAATTGATTCACAGCATTTAAAACTCACAGTATAAAATTTATGAATTACAAGAAGCTATTCTAGTGAGAAAGAGCTGTCTGATTTCACACAATATTGGCCTTATATGATAATGCAAGCATTACTCTATCAGTACTTTATTAGAGCATATGAAAGTTTTATTGCTCAACTTCATGTGAGTCTTGCCTTGATTACAACAGCCACAAAGTTTAGGGAGAAAATAAATAGAATTATGATACCCTCAATTAACTTTCTACAGGCAATCTGTTGACAAATAAAATTACAAAACAATCATGTAAGCCCCTCTTCAGAAGGTCAGACTCTTCTCATCTTCTAAACTTAGTTGACCTTCAGCTTCAAAGATTTCAGGTTTCAACCGAACAGTCTAAAACCAATGAACAATCATGATTCCATACCACAGTGACTGTTATAAACAAGAATCTCTAAAGCACTGCCATTCAAAAGTATTTTTTACACTAAACAGGGAGTAGGTAGATGCCCTGCTGAAGACTGCATTGTAAGAAGATCGAAAATTCAGTCTCTCTCTTTTTTTTTTTTTTTTTTTACCAATTTTT